TAATAATAATAATACCAGGATAGTTAAAGCAAAAAAATTTTTGTCCAAATAACCCAACAAATTAGTTATTTTTTAACCCAATGCATTGGGTTACTAACTTACTACCCAATCCATTGGGTTAAAATAACCCAACATTAGGTAGGTGCTATAGTAACCCACCATTGGGTTATCTGTTGGGTCATTTTTAACCCAACTATTTTAAGTGAGTAACAAACTACAACACACACAGCAATTTGTTATAGTCTTGAGTTTAAAGTTCCAGAATATTTTTGTTAGTTTAAATTGTTCATTTTTGTTCTTCAATAAAGTTCTTGCATAATCTGGAAAGTGTGGATATTGTTTCACCAAATTACCTCTTATTGTTACATCTATCCCCAGCTAGTGTTACAACTCACCCCAGTAGTGGGGTGGGTTGTAGCAACGGAACTCTTTGTATTTGACATTAACTCACATAATCTGTGATTGTGTAGTACAAGTTCAAGTGAGTTTTATTTGTAGTAGACAAATGTGGCTACAATGTATCAAAGTTTGAGAGGTCTAGCATGAACAACCACCAAGTTACTGACCCTCAAACAAAAAGTGTTACTATAATCCCCGGTCTCCCCCTACATCACCCACGATTTGCTGGTGTGTTTTCATCATCCACTATGTCAGATGACAGCCTCACTGAGAGTAGACAATATGCAGAAACAAGCACACTTCCAGCTAACAAAAATATGTTATAAGAACGTTTTGCTAACATTCTCGTTCATAACATATTACTGTCAGGGATGAGGAGAGGACTCAATTGCAGGAGGAATTAGGGCTTTTATTAAAAACAAAATAAAACAAAACAAACAGACAGAAACTACCCCGTAGAGGAAACCGACTTGCAAGGCAAGGCCAGGCAGGAGAGCGGACGCTCCCACAACAAAACAGAACATGGAGCGCGAGTGTCCGACCCCCGACACCAAACTGAAACGGAGTCTGAACAAGACGTGAGTGCCGGGATCCGAACACCACGCTCCAACATGAAACAAAGCACGCAGACAAGAGAGCGCACGGATCGAGCACACTCGAAGCCGCGCGCTCACATGAACACACGACAGAACCCTAACTATTTATTTATTTATTTATTTATGTGTGTATGTATTATTATTATTATTATTATTATTATTACAGAAAGTTTTTTCTGCTTATGCGAATGTTTAAGGAACAATAAATTTGATCATTTTGCAAACATTGTGGGAGTGTTACTCTTGAATGTTCTCTGAAACAAGAACAAAAATATTTTGGAAAAAAACGTTCCACGAACGATCTATAAATGTATACATAATAATGCATATAATTAATAATAATATGATATAAATCACGTTTTTGTAGGCCTACTAGCCTACTGTTTTGAGAACATTATTAAAGACCAGATAACTTTGAACGAACATTCTATCAATGTTACTGGAATAACGTTTGTTCACAACCAGGACGTTAGTCAAAGTTCTGAAAATGTTCCCTGCTAGCTGGACTCCTACGTCTACAATCTCGATCCCTAATTTAAATGTAAAGTTTTATATAAAGATTTTACTCAAAGAAGAGCAAAGGAAAGGGGTACGGTGTTTTATTGCCAGTATGTGTGTGTTCATGTTAATGTATAGACATTCACAAAAAAATAACATTTTAATTCAATGTCTTAATGGTAAATATCAGCAATAATACGATGCAGCCTGTCCGGTTCCAAAACCCACTTTCTTGTAGTTATTATGAGTGACCACGAGAGGCCGCTGTGTCCCAATTTGTACTGCTGTGAGAGTCTGTGCTGAAAGAGTGACGCATTAATCGAGACCTCGCATTGTCTCCATAACTTGGGATATGCTCACTACAATATGTTTGAGAGGCTATTAGGAAGCATATAAGCGAAGCCAATGGATTGTTCCTCAAACTGACATCTGATGTGTGTGTTGGTGTACGTTTATGCATGTGATTGTTTCTGTGTCAACAAGTAGGACCCTGGGTCACATTTTTGTCTAAAGAGGAGTGGGAAACATCAGAGTGCAGTGTGTTTTCAGTGTGTGTGTGTGTGTGTGCATTGTGAAATCACAGGTCTTATACGAACACATGGGCCATCTGTGGAATTTATAGGCCTGCTTTTGGTATCTGTGGTCAGCGAGCTTCTGTTCTATTCAACAATCACCCATTATAGAACTGTCACATTACTCTGCATTAATCTTCACCTACTCATCCTTCATCTGCGGGTTGTCCCACTCTTATTCCATCATCTGCCTTCCGCCCTCACACTCTCACCATCTTACTGTACATTCTTTTACGTTAGAATGTGTTTGTGTGTTAGAACAGCATGTGCCACTCTCGTATGTTAATGAGTGAGATCATGTGTGACCTCAAGGCCCCGGATCAGTAGATTATGGCTGAGCTAAAAGTCTGCCCCCTATCACTTTCATTTTATTTCATTGCTCTTGAGATAATGGCAATTCCTTAATAAAGTGCAGAAGATTTTAGTTCTTCATATAGAGTTTCTTTTTTGTCAACCGCAGATTGACAAATACAGTGATTTCTTGGGGCATCTTCAGTTAAAAAAAACACTCCCATGTTAGAAATCTGGGGGTCATTTTTGATTCAGATCTGAAGTTTGACAAACAAATAAATTCGGTGGTCAGGGCCAGCTTTTTCCAGCTAAAGCGACTTCGAAAGTTAAAGCACCTACTTACTTTTAGGGATTTGGAGACCGTTATTCACGCTTTTATTTCCTCAAGGCTTGATTACTGCAATGCCTTGTATGCTGGAATCAATCAGTCATCACTCGCACGACTACAGATTGTCCAAAATGCTGCAGTACGTTTCCTGACTGGGACAAAAAAGAGGGAACATATTTCACCTGTTCAAGCCTCTCTCCATTGGCTACCTGTGAGACAAAGAATTGATTTTAAGGTTTTAACTTACGTGTTCAAAGCACTGCATGGACTTGCCCCCATTTATATATCAGAATTTTAAGTTTTTATTCTCCTCAGAGATCACTCAGATCTTCAGTCCAGTTGTTTCTGAATGTCCCGAAATCTCGTTTGAAAACCAAGGGAGACAGGTCTTTTTCAGTCTATGCTCCTAACCTTTGGAACACACTACCCTTAACGATTAGAGCTTCTCCTACATTAAGCGTTTTCAAAGCATCAATTAAAACCTATCTTTTTTCACAGGCTTACTCATAATTTGGTTCATTTGTATGTACCTCTTAAATGCTAGGGGTTGCAGTTTTTGTGATGTACCAGATTGTGACTGCTTTTTACATTTATACAATTTTGTTTTATTATTCTTTTAAGTTAATGGATTGTTTACTTGTTACGTTTGTTTTCTATGTGTGTTTTGTTTTGCTTGTGAAGCACTTTGGTCAACATCTGTGTTGTTTTAAGGTGCTATATAAATAAACTTTGACCTTGACCTTGACCTTGACCTTTATGTAGAAGCTTGAGTTATGAAAAGTTAAACCAAATGATTAATCTATTATAGATACTGCTCATTTTAATACAATCCACAAATTGCTTCAAAGTCTCTCTCTGTATGTCTCTCACACACATGCAACCCAATGAAAGTACATTTCTTTAAACATCAATCAAATAAAAGATAAATGCTCAAAACTATTTCATAAGAGTGAGAGTCTGAGAACTGAGTGTTCACCATTTTCTCACTATTACCTATGAGCACTAGCAATTACTCATAATCCCACAATTTTCTCATGAAACCTCATAATTACCCATCAATCCTTATAAATAATCTGTATACTCACTTTTGAGGTTACTTCATTACTCACCATATTCATTTATTTACTTCTTGATTTGATACCCAAAAATGTGTGGAATAAAGAAATATTTCTTGAATCTGTGAAACGGTATTTCAGCCAGACTCCATCTGCATGTCCATTGATTTCCAACATAGAAGTGAAGCTGTGAGAAATCTTGTGTGTGGAAATACACAGCGCTGATTAATATACAAGATAATGACTGCATCCTATGTCTGAACAGAGGTTGTAAGATTATTGTGGCACCAAAGGGAATTGCAAAAATAACAACTGCTTCCAACTGTTCTTTTTTTTCTTTACAAAACTATTAATCCTGTATTTTTTGTAAATTATCTCCAGAAAAACAAGAGGATGACTTGCCATGTCTTATAACATGGTATTTTCTACAGTATATATAAATACAATTTACATAAATGAAGTGTTCTCCATTAGATGAATTAACTTTTTATAGATTTTTTTGCAAAGACTCACAGGATACACATTGTGGTGATACATGGGGTTTTGTGCATAGATGGCTAAAGGGTCTGTCTCGAACAAGTGCAAAATGTCATTGCCCATTATTTCTTTTAACCATTTCATTCATGTGCTGAAAATACAAACATGAACGCAGAACAATTTACAGGACATTTCTCTATGCAGTAGATAACATGTTTGTGCCAACTACTGACCATAGCCACACACACATACACAGACACACAAACTTCTGAGCTGCCATTAGTGTCACACATACACAATGCATGATTATCTCCAGAAAAACAAGAGGATGACTTGCCATGACTTGTAATATGGTATTTTATACAGTACATATAAATACAATTTACATAAATGAAGTGTTCTCCATTAGATGTTGCTTACTTTTTATAGATTTTTTTTTGCAAAGACTGTCACGGGATAAACATTGTGGTTACATGGGGTTTTGTGCATAGATGGCTAAAGAGTCTGTCTTGAACAAATAGTTTTTGCCCATTATTTCTTTTAACCATTTCATTCATGTGCTGAAAATACAAACATGAACGCAGAACAATTTACAGGACATTTCTCTATGCAGTAGATAACATGTTTGTGCCAACTACTGACCATAGCCACACACACATACACAGACACACAAACTTCTGAGCTGCCATTAGTGTCACACATACACAATGCATGTTCCGTCCACATGGCACAAAGAACTGCTTAACAAAAGAGAGGGAGAGAGACTTACATATCACAGAACACCAGATGTGAACTAAACAGCCTCCATCCTGACACCCACCCAACACACACACAAACATGCTAACACATCCACACACACCCAGCATTCAGCTGTCCAATAAATTCAAATGTCAGCCTGGTTCCTGACATCAGCTTCTCATGTACTGTACTTTTAGATGGCATTTAACACACACACACACACACACACATACACAAACACAAACACATGAATGTAGAACCCTTTATTAAATGATTACATTTACACACACATTATGTTCAATTTACACATATGGGTCATTTCATGTCAAATCAACCAAATCTCGGAAACTTCCCTGGCTCGAATTTTTGATTTTGTTCATATTTTTTTCTGTAGAAAGACAAACATAAATAGTGATGAAAGGCAACATATTAAATGTCACAGGTTTATATTTTGTTTTATGTTTTGTAGAGGCATACAAATGACTTTAGAAAGACGGCAGCATCATTATGTTATTCTTACACGGAGATCGGTAGCTCTATTAGTTAAATCGGTTGACTTTAGCTTTTATCTTTGTTTCATTATGCCAACGGTGATAGTTCATAAATGACATAAAGCATTTACACAACACAAACATAAAATAATTAGCCACATACACGACAAACTACACACAGATGTGAAAAATGTAAAACACTACTCTCACTACTACACTACTCTCGTGTGTCTTTTGCTTGTTCAGAGTGCAGTGGAGACAGGAGTTTGTCATAGCTCTCGCACATATTGTACATGCATATGCACTGTATGTATGACTGATGAATTTTATACAGTTATGCAACTGAACTGAATCAACACTGAACTGACTTGAGCTGTAGAATGACACGATTGACTTGTTAGAGCTGCTTTACAGCAGAATGTGAATTTGATACTTTTGTGAAGCTATAGTGATCTATCTATCTATCTATCTATCTATCTATCTATCTATCGTGATTTTATATCAACACAATTTCATAGAGCATACCTGTGCCATAAGTATTCTTTTTCTAAAGTTTGCATTTAATATTTTGGCTTTCATCACTATATATGTTTGTCTTTTTACAGAAAAAGTATTAACAAAATCAAAAATTTGAGCCGGGAACTGGTTGAGTTCACACGGAATGACCCATATACATGTTCCTGATGCCAGGGCTGCTAACTTCATCTGCACTCTTTCACTAGGCCGTTCAGACCAGAACACACAGAACAGTGCATTAACACATGTGTGCATGTGAGAGACAGAGAGAAAAGTCTCTGATATGACTCTCATACCTTAGGGTTAGCTGGAGCTTATTTGTGTGCGAATCACAGACAAGTGCAAAATAGATGTTCACCAGATTGGACCATCAGTGAAGATTGTAAAGATGGAGACCTTTTTTTTCTCTAGAGAAATTTCTGAGAACCAGACGATGAAAGTAAAAGCTCCATTTAACTCTTTTATGTTCATTTACACTCATTACGGTGTAACAGAAATGAGATCCTCACAATAAAAATCAAACAAATATACCTTTTATATGAGAAAATTTTATCTGAAAGTTAATAGATTAGCTAATCTTATTACTTATTAAATATTTAAATGAACATTTATTTATTTATGATTTCTACCAAAGTCACAGAAATGAATGAGACAAGAGAATGTTTAAAAACCAACTGTACATGATAAGGGAATAACTGTAGTGTTGAGTGTTTAACCTTCAGTATATCAGATGAGTCCAGTCTCTCACTGGTACTGTACTCCCTACAAATATATCACAGTGAGTGGACGGCACTGAGAGTGAGTGTTTCTCAAGACCTGGGGAGTGACCAGAAACACTGGGAGACTCTGCATATATGTGTGTATCCAGGCTCTGAAGTAAACATGAGGTTGCTGTATTAGCGGTCCTCCCTTAAACACACTCACATTCTTCTGTGATACACATATGATGTGGTTCACTTTAGGTCATTTTTAAGTTTAGCATACACGTTTATGTGTGTGTTTGTGTTAGCAAGACTTTGTAGGATTGTCTGTTTTCATTATTTTCTGCGGGCATTTATTTTACAGTCCTGTTATGTCATTGAGATTTTATTTTTACACTTTGCAAAATTGTGTGTATATTTGTATTTCGGCGTGTGTGCATATCCAGACATTGTTTTGTGTGTTTTGGCGCTTCTAGGCCTTTCCTGTGTGTTCATGTGAGTGTACATGAAGGCTTACTGGTCAGGAAGTGCCCTTCTCATTAGGAATGTAGAAATCATTGGATCACAAACAAACTGTTATAGAGCTCAGACTGTGAGCAGGACGTCAGAGTGGGTCTCCCACTAAAAGAGTCCATTGTCCATAGCTAAAGAGAGAGAGAGTAGCTGGGCTACTGCCTAAAACCACATTCAGCCTCATACATATATGCTCACCCACTTAAACACACGCAGAAGTGACTGTCATAATTTGATTAGTGGGCTTTCTGATTAATAAGGAGAGAATGAGATATTTGTTAAAAAATTATATAATTTAGATTTGTAAATTATCAATTTTGGAGGACTATCCCAAGACCAAAATAAGCAAACTACAATTTACTACAACATAGGTGTAGTGCATATTAAATATTAACATGTTCCAGTTGGCAATTTTCCCAGGAAGATTGAGATATGCCATTTTAATTAAACATTACAAGGTCAAAAATACAATTAAATATATTGATATGGAAAAGATCTATAGAACAAAGTCCGTTTACAAAATAGATATGGTGAGTTTTCATTTCATGCTGACTTTAATAAAAACACGTGTGCATTATTAGTGAAGTAAAACGTTAGAAATCTTTGGAAACTAAAATGGAAAAGTAATGAGAAGGCCAAAAATAAAAAAATGATCTGATAAAGTACAGATACTTGAAAAATGAATGGAAAAAAACTGTTATGGTCCACTTCCAAATGAAAGTCAATGTCCAAATACGTTTTGGGGGCAGCTGTTTGGGACTCTCATGTTATTTACTCTACT